CATTTACAAAACTACCTGATTAATTAAGAAATAATTAAGTGAAATTAACTCTTTCACCAGTCTGTCCAAGCGGCTTTGAATGCATATGCTCATCAGTGTATCAATTAATTTTAATTATACGGCGACATTAAGTGTAAATAGGTAATTTTTTTTATGTCTACTTTGGATGAATAAAAGAAACAATTTGAATGCATGCTTTGCTGCTGTGTTAATTTATTTAATATGCGACCAAAAAAAAAAAAACAAAAAAACAAAAAAAACAAAACAAAAAAAAAAAAAACGAAACGAAACATTGGTAATTTGAATTGACCATAAATTAAAAATGAAAGTAGATCAAAATAAACAAGATGGATGCCAAGGGATCTAGAAGATTGAGTTTGAAGCGTATTAAGCTTTATTTAAGTGAATTTATTTATAATAAAAAGTTGAAACAGTAAGTAAATATTGTGAAATGATATGTCAATTAACTTGTATTTCAAATAAACCTAAAAAATCGAAATCATATGTAACGTAAGATGTATAATACATCCAATAATTTACACAAACGTCGTATCGTCAGCCGTCCGACAAGAATTTCAGCCGACTATGGTTATTATAAAAGTCGCTTATTATAAAGTTTTGGCCTGACAAATAAACTATGATAATAAACGAATTGTACTGTATAGTGAAAATGCATTAATTCTTTGAAAATCTTCTTCTCTGCTCCTGGATATCATTTAAACAAACTAAGTGCATGGTTATGATAAGCATTGATGCCTTTTCCAAAATTGTGAAATTCATGGCCCATGGGTCAGGGGTTCTGATGTTAGGGCGGGGCTCTATTGATTATATTGTGAAAATGCTTTAATTCTTTGAAAATCTTCTTCTCTGCTCCTGGATATTTTTTAAACAAATTAAGTGCATGGTTATGATAATCATTGATGCCTTTTCCAAATTTGTGAAACTTATGGCCCCGGGTCTGGGTTCTTGTGAAAGAGGGGGGGGGGGGGGGGGGGCTCTAGTGAAAAAGCATAACTTCTTTGAAAATATTCTTTTCTGCTCCTGGTTAAAAAGAAAAAAACTAAGTGTATAGTTAAGATGAGTAAGAATGTGTCTTCCAGAATTGTGAGTTTCATGGCCCCAGAGTCAAATGTTCTGGTGTAAGGGTATGGCTCTATTAATTATATAGTGAAAATGCTTTAATTGTATTAAATAATTCTGTGTGCTCCTTAGCGTTGAGCAGATAAACAAAGTGCATAGTTATGATGAACAAGGGTGCTTCTTACAAAATTTTTAAAACTTGTGGTCTCTGGGTCAGGGGTTCTGGTGTTTGGGGGAGGGGCTCTATTGATAAATTGATATGTATATAGTGAAAATGTGTTGATCTTTTGAAAATCTTCAACTAAGTGCATAGTTATGATGATGAGAATACCTCTTCCAAATTTGTGAATTTCATGACCATGGGTCATGGTTTCTGGTGTTAAGTTAGGGCTATGTTGAATCTGTAGTAAAAATAGATTGATTCTGTGAAATTCTTCTCTGCTCCTGGGCATATCGGAGGCAAACGGAGTAAAAGTTTTGAGAGCCATTATCTATAATGACTTGAACTTTTATATAGGAGCTGTGGCACACATAGTCTCAGAATTTCTCCAAACTCTCTGTGATAAAAGTCTTTGATACCGTAAACTCAAATCAGGCAAAAATTGGTTGCTACATGTCATGGTTACAATAGCAACATGTCCTAAAGTTTGAAAAATGGCATTTTTCATTTGTTTAGAGTCCCATAGTTAACGTTTGCAGCAAAGCAAACAAGTAGCAATGACTGTTTTTGGAAGTTGAAGGCCTGATGTCTTAAATGCATGATAAACATGTTTGGTAAATCAACTTTATCATACATTACTAGTGATGGGACATCGGTTAATTTTCATAATCGATCATCGGTTGGAATCGGTTACTGCTTCCGATGCGATTTTACCGATTATAATCGGATTTCATAGTTTTGTATACAAAAAGCATACAATTACAATTATTTCATATTATTTCTTGAACATGAATATATAAAATATAGGCCTATAATATATTATTTTCTTTGTTGTTTTGCTTCTTTTACACTTTCGAAGCCTAAAAAAATTTTTGTTTGTTTGTTTCCTGTAACATTCCCAAAAATGAAGGGTCGAGAGGTCGGGAATTTTTTTTTTTTTTTTTGTTATGAATAATGGGGTCAGACATCTCGGGACTAAATTATCCAGGTGTTATATTTACAGTGGACACCCAACATGGCTGCCTAGCAGCAGAAAACGAACCTCAAAAAGTTGTGGGGGGGAATTGATTACTCTTTATATTTAAGGTAAATGTTGACTAAGTTGCATATTTTATATTTCAAATAAAAGATACAATTAATATTTTTTTGAATAAAGAGAATCAGCTGATTGATCAAACCAAAGAGCAAACACAGATTTGGCAGAAAAAAATCCACCCGGGGGTAAATTGAATGGGTCGATCGGGTTACAGGAAACAAACAAATTTTTTTAGGCCCTATATATGCACCTTTCGGTTCTTAATCACCTCTGCTTCATGCTAGTTGGCTAGTATCAGATGCAGACGCCATTTTCTTTCATTAAGAAGAAATAAAATTTAAACCAGAAATGGATAATTGCATTAGAAGTATGTTTCCGATGATCGATTATGAAAAATTATAATCGATCATCAGAATCGGTAGCATTTTTTCATCGACAATCGATGTTTTCTGATTATCGGTACAACACTATACGTTACTATGGAAACAAAGTATTCAAAAGTAATAATTTTGTTCGTTTAATTTTATAGAGTTATACACTTAAGAATAAAAACAATTATAGGTTGAAATGCAAGCAAATAATAGACAAAAGATCCTTGTAACAAATACCAAGGGCGAAATATGATATTTCTTATAGGATATCAACAGTTGCCATGGTTTTAATACCATGAAGGTATTTTAAATTTACTCTCTTAGTGTTTTAATTTTATCCCATCTTTTTAAAAAGCATATTTCTACATAACTGATGATCAATTTTTAAAGGTGTTGGTGTGACCCTAATTTTCAGATTTCAAAAAATTCTAATTCAATTGTCTAAATAGAGCATTGCTATGGAAATAAGCCAAAAAAATATACATAAAAATCTGAAAAATATTCTGTTTCCTTGGATACCTACTCTTGTATGTAGATTCCCAAAACTTTTATGATTGATATTTATGAACAATTAACTTGACTTTCAATTTTGACTACCACCCAATCTCTGTTTGGATGCAAAAAGCTGGCACATGGGGTTTAATATTGATATAAAGTTAACAAAATTGAACATTTTCCTTTCTTGGTAACCATAGCAACAGTGTTGTATTTTTCATCAAACTTTATCAATATATGATATTCAACTTTAGTTCTACCAGATAAGTACTATTCAAGGTGAGTCAAATAATATGTTTCTTGATTAAAGGGTAAGTAAATTCCTAAAGCAACAAAAAAGTATCACTTTAAACAACTGGTACGTTGTTTCCATGGTTACACTGCAAGGTAACAATTAATCCCGATTTTTCTTATGTTGTTGGTGTTGCAAGGTCCTAAGGATGTATATGTGCCAATCATGAATTTTATTGTTTTTCCTCAAGATAGTAGCATTAACCCAATCTTAGCAACGAATTTTGCATGGTTAAAAGTTAAAAGATAGTACAGAAGCACAAGTACATTGTTAATAGTCTGCATGGTGATAGTGATAAATGGGGGACAGATCAGAACTTAATTTATGAGTTGTTACTGAATACTAGACTAATTATTTTGTTGATCATGATCATCCTAATTCTCTTGCTTTTGGGCAACAAAGCTTCATCTTTCAGTTTATTTTATACTCTATTGATCTCTAAATTGTTGTATTATACTCAGGTGACCAATAAGGCCCTTGGGCCTCTTGTCTAAATGTTTATGATACCAAGAAGCTTTGAGCAGAAGTGATAGAATTGTACAATTTATCAGAAGAGTGATTTTAGGTCCTTGGGTCTTTTGATTTATATATTAAATTGACAAGCCAGTAAAACCATCCATTTTTGCTAGAAAATTAGGATTTTAGTGCTTTAGCATTTACATGTTTGAATTTCTTAATATGCATATTTTAATTGCTATTGCTCTGATGTCATAGGTGTCAATCCTAGTCAAGCAGAGAACTTACTGTTTTTACAAAACAAAATCCATTCTTGTGTCTTGTAAACATGACAAATAAAAAAAATAATGATAATTGGATCATTGACAGTAAGTACAGTGTAAATATAGTGGTACAAATGTATTTGAATCAGCACAGAGTTCACTAGAGAGGATTCAGGAACATCTTTTTATGTGCCGTAGACTTTGCAATCATTTGAACATTAATAATTTAGACACTAAATAAAGGGGAAACTTAAATTTCTCATAGCTTGAAATACTTACAAAGTCAAAATGTAAATCGTTCCATTCATACGATATCATGAGTTGTCATCAGCTCCTTCTTTGGTTTCATACTATTTGTTGGCAAATTTACTTGGTTATTTCTTTATGATAGAGGTTCATGCTTAAAAGATGTTCTTCCAAAGGAATACTGTCAATAACATAGTTCCAACTACCTGCAGATTTTGGTTGATTTATTCAACACCAAACCTATTCATTGTATTTATCCTTACAATTAGCTACTCAAGAATTGACACCTATGATGTTTCAGTACCATGTGACTCTCTATCTAATTAGTGGAGATTTTTTATTTCTTAGACAGTAGATTATTGGCATTTTTCATCTAATTATGACTGTTTTCAACCTAATTAAATGGTAAAATGATAGTTATATGAAACAAAATTATTTTTAAGAAATTTAAAAGTGTGATAAAAACCCTTTAACAAAATTTTTTTCACCAGATATCGGCTGATGAAAATTATTTATTTATGGCCTTTGCACAAGTCTTAAAGTTTACCCAAATAAAGTGTTTATCAACAAGAACATTATAATATGAATTTCATTTTTTTAGGGCCTTGTCAGAAAAAAAGTTTCCAGTACTACCTCACCTTTGCCAAGGTAAATTCTTCAGCTATCTTTGTTCTGTAAATCTGGTTCATTGTAATCATTATGATATCTTCACATTTGAGTCATGCTTGAAGGGATTGCAATGCTAATTTTGACAGAATTTTTAAAAAGGAGCATAGACACAATTTTGAAGTTAAGATCTTTCAAATTTTTTGTACAATGTAATGACTTCCATGTTGTGAGATCATTTCAGATCAGTATATTACAAGAGCCTGTCTGTAAACTTATTATATCTGAAAATTGTTAAAACTACAAATTTTAGAGGTGTTTAATTACTACCCATTCTTGCCCTTTCAATTCAATTGTGTCTATACCCTTAAAGAGAGCTTTTTTCATTATCTTTCCAAACAAAGAAATGAAAGGACACTTTATTCAGAAAATAATTATTTACAGGTTTTTGAGTTTTTAGCTCACTTGAACAAAAGTTGAAAAGAGCTTTTCTGGTCATGTTATATGTCATTTCTCTGACCATCTGTTAACTTTTTTATATTTTCTACTTATACCCATTCTCTACTTCGAGGGAAAGTTATTAAGAAATGGGAAATTGTGATATATTTCGGTCTTTTGAAAATCTTCTTTTCAAGAACCAGTGGGTCAGAAATATGAAATTTGCATTAAGTGACCTCAGTTAAAGGAGGTTCAAATTTATACAAAATCTTGACCCCTGGGGATAGGGTTGGACCACTTTAGGGGAAAATATTTGCATAAGTATATATAGGACAAATATTTCAAAATTTTCTGAAGAAGAACATCAAAGGTCATGGATAGTCATATCAGTACCCAAAGGTAGGGTGGGGCCACAAGAAAAGATCAAACATCAACATGGAAATGAAGTTACAAGACTGTAGCTCTACTGGATTGAACTCATAACAGAAAGAGAAAAGTAGCATTTGGAATTGAAGCTTTGCTACAACAATAAATAGAAAAATGATCCTTGGTTTAATCTCTTTTTGTGACAAGATTTATTGCAATCAGAATAAAGATATAGGAGAGGTAGCTTTTTGAAATAATTTCACAATTTTTTTTTAAATTTTTTTTTTTATTTTTATTACCCCATCACATGAATATGATAATCAATAAGTTTACAGCCAAGGTTGGGGAGCCTTGGATTCTGCAAACTAATTTGACAAAGTTCTTATACTAAACATACATCTTGTGACAGGTGAATTTTTATATAGGCCTACAAAAAAAAAAAGAAGAAAGAAAAAAACAGTCACACCTCAGTCATACAAGACATGTATATGCAAGCTTAATTATTTAAATTATACAAAAAAAATCATTGTTTCAATAATAAGTAGTTTGAGCAGCAGGGGGTTCAGCTCAAACAGAACAATTATTCAGGACTTGTTCTAATGGTAGACAGTTCCATTTTCTGTCAAATTTCTCAATATCACAGTTTTTTCTTGTAAATATATTTCTCATATTTATAATAATACAAAATTTCATTTTTAGCTCCTTCAAATGAAGGAATTTGTTTTAAACATCTTTTTCGGTATATGTGCTTCTTTACAATACATGTTATCAGATTTGCAATGTTATAATACTTATCATATTTTCCAATAATAATGTCCAATTTATTCATTGCAATATCAATTCCAGATAGTTCTTTTATCCAATCTTGAATTTTTTCCCAGATCTCACTTACATATTCACATTCTCGAAGTAATGTCCCAGTGTTTCTGGATGTACATTACAAAAAGTACACAATTCTGATTCTACAATCCCAATCTTGTTTAAAAATGTGTTTGTTGCAAGATTTCTGTGCGTAATGTGGTATTGGAACCATCTAATTTGCATGTCATTTGTAACTTTAAAAATAAGACTATATTTAGTCTTCCACCAATTACTGTTCACATCTAGATTAAACTCTTTTTCCCATTTCAGTTCACATTTAGGTTTTTTCCAACTATGATTCAAAAATACATTGTAGTAATCCTTTGAACCCTTTTTACTTTTTCTTATTATTTGTAAAAATTGTGGGTAAAAAGGTAAGTTATTAACAATATACTCTGTATTGTAATAAAGTTCTAGTTTGTTTATACTATTTATAATCCCGTAATACAAGGTAAATGGTGGATAGAAATTGTACTGATTACAGAACTCTTCATAACACATTAATTCTCCAGTGTAATTGTAAAAATCTAATATGTAATAAACACCTTCTTCAAACCATTGTTTATAAAATACACTTTTGCTATTAATACATATTGATTCATTAAACCACACAGGACTCAAAATACAGTGAGTCTCGATACACTTTCTTAATTCTAAAAAAGCTGAAAAAACATCAATCCAAAAAATATTTGTACTGGTTTTAATATATAAGCTTTTGCAAAAAAAGGTCTAAAAACTGTTATCTGTGATACATTAAAGCAAAGTTTCAATTATCAAGTGTTTCCAGCCGGATTTACATGTATCATCATAAAAGCGGCGAACCCATGTAACTTTCAAACTTTTAGCAAAAGTTTCAAGACAAATCATTTGGAAACCTCCATTTTCGTAGCTTTGAATAATATCACTTTTTGCAACTCTTGGAGTTTTAAAGTTCCATACATACCGATAAAAAATAATTTAAATTTCTTTTAATATTTCTTTTGGGGGAGTTGGTAAACTAATTAACAAATGTGTAATTTTTGGAAGAATCAATGATCTAACCACAGTAATCCTTCCTACAGTTGATAAAATTCTGCGTGACCATGAACATATGAGTGCTTTTATTTCTTTAAGTTTGGGTGTGAAGTTTAATTCAAACATAGAGATACTTTCTAGGTTTCACAACAATTTTGATTTTAGTAACCATGGCAACATCATTAAATTAAAAAAAAAACAATAAAGACAATTATGTATCTCAGTGTAGTCTACGTGCTTGCCAAGTAATAATAAAATCAGACCAAAACTGTAGGAGGAGTAATGTTTTGAAAGGATTTCACAGAAATTTATATTTTTAGTAACGATGGCAACACTGATTATCAAAATTAAAAACCAATAAAAAAAATTATGTATCTTAGTGCAGTCTACTTGTGTGCCAAGTTATATTGAAATCAGACAAAAACTGTAGGAGGAGTAGCGTTTTGAAAGTATTTCACAGAAATTTTTATTTTTAGTTACTAGCAACATAGTTCATCGAAATCAAAAACCGATACATAGAATTATGTATCTTAATGTGGTCTACTTGGGTGCCAAGGTATATTGAAATCAGACCAAAACTGTAGGAGAAGTAGTATTTTGAAAAATTGTTTACAAATGGACAGACAGACAGACGGACAGATGAAGAACATCTTACCATCGCATAAGCTCTTCTGGTCTCTGACCAGTAGAGCTAACAAGATGTGTTCATGAAACACTGATGCCCCCACATAACAGCTTACGGCAAAGTTTAAAGTTTCTCAAATGCAAGTCAAACTCAAAGCTTAAGCTCAAGAGATCAGAAGATGTTTGTACCTAAAATAAGGACTTGCCTTAATGAATATACCTGTGAAATATGAAAGCTCAAGCACAAATCATTCAAAAGTTACGAAGGTTAAAGTTTTTTTTTAAAATGTATCGGACTCCAAGGTCAAGGTTAAAGGGTCAAGATTAATGGTACACAGGGAAAAGTCTTGTCACAAAAATACACACATGAAATATGAACTGTTTTGACCAAGGTTAAAGTTTTTCAAAAGTTGGTCAATCTCCTAGGTCAAGCTCAAAAAGGTCAAAATTTTTAGTATCTGAAGGAAGGTCTTGTCTCAAGGAATACACATGTGAAATATGAATGCCCTAGTTTTAAAGATACATACCACAAACAAATTTTCTTATCTCCCACACAGAAGAGTTACACTGGTATTTTTTCAATATTTCTTTCACTGGAAATATAATTAAGAAATTTTAATTGTGCAAAATGTAAATATACACTCTTGAAAATGTCCCCAGAAACTTTGCTGTAAGAAAATTTTACAAGTTTCTTAAATTTTTCAAAAAATATATGAAACTGTTAAGTTGTATTTTCTCACTTTTTATCAAATTATGTGGCTTGGCAAAACATTAAGCTGTTCAACTAAACAAATATCACTTCTGAAGTGAAAGAGGCACCTATTTTAGCAAAGATATTTGAATTCAAAAGAAAAAATGTTTGTGTTATTTATCTTTAATGTTCAAAAGTTATGGCCAAGGTTAAAGTTTTTTAAAAGTGAATCAAACTCTAAGGTCAAGGTCAAAAGGTCAAATATATTTATACATAAGGAAAGGCCTTGACACAGTGAATTCACATTTATCTTTCGAAAGCCCTAGCACCAACTGTTCAAAAGTCATGGCCAAGGTTAAAGTTTGGTACATTTTTGCAAAAGTGGGTCCAAGGCCAAGGTCAAGAGGTGAAATATGTTGGTACCTAAAGAAAGGACTTGTCACAAGAAATACACATGTAAAATATGAAAGCCATAGTTTCAAGCAATCAAAAGTCATGGGCTAGGTTTGAAATTTCAAGGACAGATGGACAGAGCAAGAACTTGTGTGCCCCCGAATCTTTGGTTACAAGGGCATAAAAGAGTTCCATTATTACTGGGTAGTCAAAAATAAATATGCAGATTTCTAGGGTTATGCATATTCAAGTTTGTCCAGATCATGGCCCTACAGGGGTAAAGATGGCCACAGTTAGGAATCAAAGTTTAACACAGAAACATTGTAAGAAAGAAATCATTAAAAATCTTTTCTAAGTAACAGCAGGGCCATGATAAGTGATACTGACTGGCTTTTGTAAGAAGCCCAGACTTTTCAAAATTTGTATTGAACTGTTATTTAAATGACATTTTCCCACTTTTCACCAAATTTTGTTTTATCTCAGACTTAGACATTTGAAAATGTAAATATTAAAAGATAAAAACAGGTTTTTAGCTCACCTGAGCTGAAAGCTCAAGTGAGCTTTTCTGATCACCCGTTGTCCATCGTCCGTCCATCCGTCTGTAAACTTTTCACATTTTCAACTTCTTCTCAAGAACCACTGGGCCAATTTTAACCAAACTTGGTACAAAGTATCCTTGGGTGAAGGGGAGTGTAAATTGTTAAAATAAAGGGCCAAGTCCCCTTACAAGGGGAGATAATCAAGAAAAGACAAAAATAGGGTGGGGTCATTAAAAAATCTTCTTTTCAAGAACCACTGGGCCAGAAAAGCTGAAACTTATGTGGAAGCATCCTGGGATAGTGTAGATTCTAAATTGTTCAAATCATGACCCCCGGGGGTAGGGCGGGGCCACAATAGGGAATCCAAGTTTTACATTGAAATATATAAGAAAAATCTTTACAAATCCTCTTCTCAAGAACCACTGGTCCAGAAATACTGAAACTTATATGGAAGCATCCTGAGGTAGTGTAGATTCTAAATTGTTCAAATCATGACCCCCGGGGGTAGGGAGGGGCCACAATAGGGAATCCAAGTTTTACATTGAAATATATAAGGAAAATCTTTACAAATCTTCTTCTCAAGAACAACTTGGCCAGAAAAACTGAAACTTATATGGAAGCATTCTGGGGTAGCGTAGATTCTAAATTGTTCAAATCATGACCCCCGGGGGTAGGGTGGAGCCACAATAGGGAATCCAAGTTTTACATTGAAATATATTGGAAAAATCTTAAAAAATCTTCTTCTCAAGAACCACTGGTCCAGAAAAGCTGAAACTTAAGTGGAAGCATCCATTGTTCAAATCATGACCCCCGGGGGTAGGGCGGGACACAATAGGGAATGCAAGTTTTACATTGAAATATATAAGAAAAATCTTTTAAAATCTTCTTTTCAAGAACCACTGGTCCAGAAATACTGAAACTTATATGGAAGCATCCTGAGGTAGTGTAGATTCTAAATTGTTCAAATCATGACCCCCGGGGGTAGGGCGGGGCCACAATAGGGAATCCAAGTTTTACATTGAAATATATAAGGAAAATTTTTACAAATCTTCTTCTCAAGAACAACTTGGCCAGAAAAACTGAAACTTATATGGAAGCATCCTGGGGTAGCGTAGATTCTAAATTTTTCAAATCATGACCCCTGGGGGTAGGGCGGACCCACAATAGGGAATCCAAGTTTTACATTGAAATATATTGGAAAAAATCTTTAAAAATCTTCTTCTCAAGAACCTCTGGGCCAGAAAAGCTGAAACTTAAGTGGAAGCATCCATTGTTCAAATCATGACCCCTGGGGGTAGGGCGGGACACAATAGGGAATGCAAGTTTTACATTAAAATATATAAGAAAAATCTTTAAAAATCTTCTTTTCAAGAACCACTGGTCCAGAAATACTGAAACTTATATGGAAGCATCCTGAGGTAGTGTAGATTCTAAATTGTTCAAATCATGACCCCCGGGGGTAGGGCGGGGCCACAATAGGTATATTAAAAGGGGGGAAATCTGGTAAAGAACAGCATGGCCTAAGTTACTCAGGTGAGCGATGTGGCTCATGGGCCTCTTGTTGACCTGAGTATTTTTTAAAGGACATTACTACTTCGGTATCTCAAACACCGATATCTTGAATACCATGGATATGTCGAAGTGATTTGGAAGTCTTAACTACTCACTCTTTAAGTATTTTGCCCTCGAATATTGGATATCTCGAAGTTTTTTCTCAGTCCCATCGTGTTCGAGGTAATGAGATTCAACTGTAATTGAATATGCATTCTTTATTTAATGAAATTACCTGTAATGTTCAAAAGCCATGGCCACAGTCAAATATAAAAAGTTTTTTCAAACAGATCACAAGGACAGTCAGGACAAACATGTGTCCCCTGATCTTTGGCCTTTGGGGGCAATGTGACTTGGGTGAGGATTGTGGTCCATAAGCCTTTAATATGAAGAGAATTGGAAGTTAAGTTCAGTGATCTCTCTAGTGATGGTTTTTCATTTCTCCTGTTTCTTTTAGCCCTACATTCAGATAGCAGCTCTCCTTGAGATCAAAGTATAGCAAATACATGGAAAGGAAACATCTGGTTCAGAATTATCCCATAACTACAACTTCTACAGAAATTGTAAAGAATGTCACTAAACCAAGTCGGTCCTACAGCCATCACTCAGGCCTCTTGTGGATGAAACAGGCAGTATGCACCTTGTAATTACTGTTATCCTGATTGCTCCTCTTCCGAGTTCAGTTTTGAGGAGCCATCATGTATCACTGTACACCTAGGAAATACTCGTATGTTTACAGGCATTTTATCTGGCTCCAGATCATGAAAGATATTGCAAGATTAAGTCGGAATATGCTTATTGCAATGAAATTATGTTATAATTTAACAATCTGATATATATATATATATATATATGTCATTGAGTATTTCATCTGCAAATTTAGAATTACAGTTTACAATTAAGACATCCCTTACAGATGATTGAAAGTTTGACTTGAGTCTAAGTCTTCTTCATGATCTTGGGGCCTGAAATTTGTTTTTTATATTTATATGTTTTTGTACACTCAGTTATAAAGCTTGTAGATTTTATGAGGATGAACTCTTCTGATGAACCAAGTGTTTCTCAGATTGAAAATATGCATGTGTTTGTGTATTTTTTTTAAAATATACTCTGTGTAGTTTTTCCAAGTTGCATTTTGAAGGTACTTCATGACCCCATGAAAAGCAAAGTTTATATCTTGCAAAAACAAGATGCTATTGAAAAAATTGATACATGTATATGATTTATAAAAGAAATTATACAGATATTTAAAAAGGAAACAATTTTAATTCTTTTTAATATCTTATAATGTACTATATTTTTGCAAGTAAAAGATTTAAAGATATGTTTTGAAATTAAAAAAAAAAATATTAGTACATGTAATGCATTCTACCAGACAAACTGTTCATATATTTATAAATGAGCAATATGACTTCAATGCAATTGTGATTTTGATGAAGGGGTTCATGCCTCATGGTTTGGCTAACATATACTTGTATTTTTTTTATCCAGAACACATAACTTATTTATTCCTCTGTCCATTTCTTTTCCTAGACATTTTGTTTGTTCCATTCTATTTTAAAATGAAAAGAATATTTTATATGATACATGTAATTATATACTTATTGAAGTTTTTCCTATCAGACACAAAAATTATTTTAATAACCAAAATTAAAATTTGATTTTTTTTTAAGGATCTGTCAATTTATACAGTGTAAGTAGATATATATTATCATTATGGTGTTACGATAAATTGGAGCTCTTTGCAGTAGGTTATAAACTTTAAAAGAAAAAGTAAAAAAGTACATATGTATATTGTATATTCTTTTAAAATTTTAAACATGAAAATTTGCTTTTTTTATTATTATCATTATTATTATTGGTTATTATCTGCCTACATCCTAAGTATCTATCATTTTTGTAGTACATACTCCATGAATACTGTAAACCAGCTTTTACATGTATTTGCATGTGAGAAATATCTGCTAGTTTCACGACCTACTTTAACTCGAATATTAATTGCCGCAAACCATTTATTTTGCTTTATATTTATAGAAAATATTTTCTGTCGTGAAAATTAGTTGTTGCGGATTGATTTCAAACTGATGAATTGCGAATGAAAGATGACGTGAATAATAGTTGGTTTACAGTATAGGAAAATTTCATTAATTTAAAATTAACCCCTCCTCAAAAGATCATACATTAGAAGAATTTTGTGTTTCTAATACCCTCAAATGGGGGGGGGGTGTCAGAGTTTAACATATGAATGCAATGTAACTATTGAAAAAATCAACAAGAATATGCCCACATTTATTATACATTTATGGAAAAATTCCTGTATAGTTGTAGTTGACAAATCATGGCCTGGAGGGCTAAGGAAGGATCACAAAGGGGGGGGGGGGGTCAAAATGTTATCATGTAGCCTTTATTTTTAATGTTCTGCTTTAAAGGACACATTCATACTGATATGCAAAAATCTGCATATGATTCAGACTTGTTCAAATAATGTTCCCCCTGGGATAAGTATGGGCAACAATAGGGGTGAAGGTCTTTGGCTTCAGGTAAAATCTTGTCCTCAGATGCCACAAGTAATATGTTGCACTCAAACTCAGACACTAACTATATAATTTACAATATATATAAAGATGTGTTTTTTGCTCAAAAACAGAATTTAAGGGTCAGAGTTTTAAATTGTGTAAATCGTGGCCTTTGGCACTAGTTATTGGGGAAATCTTCAAAAAGTCTCTCTTATAAAGCAGCAAGGGCAGAATTTACTTTAATATTCCAGCATCATGTACTGTAGGTTCAAATTGTTTAAGGTGTCACAATGACCCTTTTAAGCTATTCATTTTAATTCCTTTTAAATTGATATATATGAGTTCAAGGATCCATCCAATGATGTTCATGGTTATTGCATCTTGGTTTGTTACAAACGAGTGAACTTCTTTTAAGCTTTATGGCTTTCATTTCAAATACATGTATGTTTAGATAATTATCACTGACCCTGTGAGTCCAGGAATTATATCAAACTTTGTTGGTTAATGCGCCCAAACAGATTTAAGGGTAAAAATAGCTAGCTTTATTTTGTAATTAGCTCACCTCGACGAAGTCGAGATGAGCTTATGCTATACCCCAGCGTTGGCGTCGGCGTCCCGGTTAAATTTTTAGGAGCAAGTCCATTCCCAAGTAACTATAAGCCCTACCTGGACCAAACTTGCATGGATGATGCATCTAGGGATGGACACTACCACACTTGCTTCGGATGCTGGATCTGACCTAGATTTTCCAGATGAGTGACTAGCTTAAAGTTTTTGAAGCAGGTCCATTCCCAAGTAACTATAAGCCCTACCTGATCGAAACTTGCATGGATGATGCATCTAAGGATGGACACAACCACACTTGCTTCGGATGCTGGATCTGACCTAGATTTTCCAGATGAGTGACCATGTTAAAGTTTTTGGAGCAGATACATTCCCAAGTAACTATAAGCCCTACCTGGACCAAACTTGCATGGATGATGCATTTAGGGATGGACATTACCACACTTGCTTCAGATGCTGGGTTTGACCTGGATTTTCCAGATGAGTGACCAGGTTAAAGTTTTTGGAGCAGTTCCGATCCCAAGTAACTATAAGCCCTACCTGAACCAAACGTGCATGGATGATGCATCTAGGAATGGACACTACCACACTTGCTTCGGATGCTGGATCTGACCTAGATTTTCCAGATGAGTGAATTTTAGCCATATTTTAATCAAATTAGCATGGATGATGTTTCTTAGGATGGACACTTTCAGACTTGTTTTGGATTCTGAATCTGACCTACATTTTCCAGATGAGTGACCAGGGTTATGTTTTTGGAATAGCTATATAATATTATGGCATGTTATGATTAAACTTGCATGGATGGTGCATCTAAGGATGAAAACTTCAAGACTTGCTTTGGATGTTGGAACTGACCAAAATTTTCTTGATTAGTAAACAGGTTTAAAGTTTTTTGAGCAGGTCTATTTCCAAGTTACTATAAATCCTTCTAAAACCAAACTTGTATGGATATTGATCTTGAGATGAACACTAACTAGAAAAAATATGATGTGAGATTTGCCTTACTTATAGATAACCTTCGTTGAGGTGAGCTTGGTAATCTTTGATTACCTATGTTTTTTGCATTTGACTGAATATAATAGTTTATCACATGTTTAGTCCTTTATACAGTGGATATAGCTCATAGGATATTGTTTTCATATCCACGGTTGTGACGACACAATGGATTTTGCAATGATTTGATCAAGTCAAATATTGTGTTTTTGCATATATAAAACAGTATAAAACAGAAACTGCTAAGTGTAAAACATGATAAAAAGAATCTCTCTTGGTTTGTGGTTGGATAGGATTTTTTTAGCTCTTCTGAGCCAAAGGCTCAAAGAGCTAATGCTATGACCATTTGTGCGGTGTGCGTAAACTTTTTAGAATATGGACCATATTTCAAGAACCCTTCAGCAAATTTTCGTCAAATTTGTCACAGAGTATGATTGGCCCAAGGGCTCTCATTTACGCTAAAACTAGCGATGTAACCCTTAAACAAGGGGAGATAATTAGGAAAATAAAAACAAAAGTATTGGTTGTTAAAAAATCTTCTCAAGAACCACCAGGCAGATTATCGCCAAACTTATACACAAGGATGAGGATATGTTGTAGATTAATTTTTTTTCAAGGTATCACCCTGGGGCAAAGGGCATGGTCTCAAGGTCACTTCAAAGATGACCAAAAATTATGTTTTGTTTCACTTACTACAAGGACTAGGATCATCAAATTCTGTCAGTTTATGCACCTTAGGACCTCACATAATGTTGACTCAAAAGTAGGTCACTGTGACCTACTTTTTTTTTTTTTGAATTTTGCAGGCATTTGTTTTCAATTTGATTTAGAGGCATATTTTGGACACTTTCAGGTGTATGATCATCAAACTTTGTCAGTTGATGCATCTTAGGTCCTTAAAGTACATCAACTGAAAAGTAGGTCACAGTGACCTACTTTTGAAATTTTATGGCTATATTTAAATATTTCAGGTACTAATTGCCCTAGAATCATCAAACTTTGTTAGTTGATGCATTTAGCATCCTTGGAATAGATCAACTGAAAAGTAGGTCTCCGTGACCTACTTTTGAAATTTATTGGCTATATTTAGATATCACTGTGACTTACTTATGAAATTTTATGGCTATATTTAAATATTTCAGGTACTAATTGGCTTATAATCATCAAACTTTGTCAGTTAATGCATCTTGGGTCCTTGGAGTACGTCAACTGAAAAGTAGGTCACTGTGGCCTAATTTTGAAATTTTATGGCTATATTTATGCATTCCAGGTACTATTTGGCTTAGAATCATCAAACTTTATCAGTTGATGCATCTTGGGTTCTCAGAGTACGTCAATTGAAAAGTAGGTCACCGTGACCTACTTTTGAATTTTATGGCTATATTTAAATATTTTCAGGTACTTACTGGCTTAGAATCATCAAGCTTTGTCAGTTGATGTATTTTGAGTCCTTAGAATGTGTCAACTAAGAAGTAGGTCACAGTGACCTACTTTTTGGAATTTCAAGGCATTATCTAAAAAAAAAAAAAATAATAAGATAACTAAAATCATTAAACTTTGTCAGTTGATGCATCTATGGGTCTTGAGGTATGTTTACCAAAAGGAGGTCACTTTGACCTACTTTTGGAATCCCATGGCTATATCTGAATATTTAAGATATTAATGGTCCTTGAATCATCAAACTTTGTCAGTTGCTGCATCTTGGGTTCTCAGAGTGTTTATTTTTTTTAGAATGTAGATCATGATGACCTACTTTTGGAATTTCAATCATTTTTCTAAATGTACAGGCTTCAAATAGAAGTGGTAGGTTCTACAATTTATCAGAAGAGCGATTCAAGGCCCTTTGGCCTCTTGTTACACAACTTACTGGATAAAAAATCATATCCAACTACAAGGCATTGGAAATCCTATATATATGTTACCTATCTAATATACTAGATGGATATGCCTCCAAATTTACACAATAGACAAGATTATAAATGCACATCATTTATGTAACATAATGATTAAGAAATTAAAAGGGATTATAATAACATGCCATATTGAACAAAATGCTGTACATAGATCTAGATTCACATGTAATTCTTCTGCAAGACAACATGGCTACAGAGACTACAGTTTGTAAGCTTAACTTCAATCCTAAATATGCTGAAGTCATTGGATAATAATGAACATATCTATCTAAATATTTTTTA